TATTATTAGAGTACCGTTAAATTATAGCAAATTAATTCAATGTTAGCCAGAGAAATACCAATATCTGCAAACTAGGAAGACAAATACCAAATCAAAGAGGTAAAGAAGAAAGAAGGAGTTAAAAAATGATGATATCCACATGAGGGACTTTTGGGAGAATTCCTCTTCCCTTAGATAAACACCTTTGTTGATGAAAGTCTTTGCGCTGAGCTTTGAAGGGGTAGGATATCTTGATCCCAGAATAGACCCAAAGCTGTCTGGCTCCTTTATCACAGAAAGGAGCATTGAAACCTTGCTCTTAATAAATGGCCCTGTCATGCAAAGAGTCTTTCTTATTCATGTCGGGGGAGACGGACAGAGACGGGCCATCCAGAATTCAAGCACCATCACCTTGATTGATTGCAAACTACCGAAACAGTGGTGGAAGAGGCCGACAGGGTGGGGGACCAGGCTTTCTCTTTCTGATAATAACACAGGATGATAAAACGTGTTCTGCCAAGTGTCTCGGTATTTCCCTTTCACACACACACAAAATGTTTCACAGCTTTCATCACCACTTCATCACATTTCTTCATGTAATTGAAGCCATGGGGTGGGACTACATTAATCTCTACTCTGTAAGGCAAGACTGAGTCCTCATCAACATCTAAGAGATTGAAAGTAACAGAAATCTCAAAATGGGTGTTGCGAGAAATGTTGTCTTAATGAATGTTGTCATCATAGAATGATCCATGATGGTAGGAGGGATTGGGCACTTATCTAGAAAGTAAATCTCACCTTACTCTTCTGCTTACATGCCTTCAGGGGCACCCACATTTTTAGGATAAAGGCCAGGGTGCCTAGTTTTCCACACCCATACTTTGTGCAGCCCCTCTGATCAATCTGCAGTTTCTGCTCTTCTTGTCTTCCTTTTCATGGCAAACTCTTGCCTGGCTTCCAAAGTGTAGTCCAAGCGTTCTGCCTCGAACTTCTACCCACAGTGAGACTTCACACTTATCATCCTCAAAACTGGTGGGTGAGTTGCTTTGTCTTTCTCCTCCATTAGCATTTAATTGCATCAGGACAGGGACCACACATTCAACATTTTCTCAGTGCCTGGAACTATGTCTGGCACATGGTGGGTGCTCAGTAAATGTTGAGTGAATGATTGTACAATTATTCTACAATCTCCCTTTCTTCCTTTTTTATTTTGTGAATGGGCCTGGCCCCAAAGCCATGTCCCTTGTCTCTTATCAAGCCTCGCTGTTACTTCCAGGACACCTTCCTGGCTCCAAGGAAGCAGAATGAGAACCTCTGGGAGAAAAAAGAGCTGGAGAGGAGCCAAAAAGTTCTTCCCAGAGGGCCTGGGCCCCAAACTGCAGTCAAAGGATGCATAGGGGTGTGTCAGGCACATAAGGTAATAGGTAGACGTGTGAAGAGACAGAAGCATGAAGCAGATTATTAAAAATCATTTTACCATTTATTGAGGACATACTTTGTGGTATTCTTGTTGGAGGTGTATGTACAACACCTCTGACAATGGACTTCCTGTGACTTACTCCCTAAGATTCCAAAGGGAACATCCATTTAAACAACAAATTGTTGCTCAGAAAGGCTCAGTGATGTGCCCAAGGCTACACAGCTCTTAAGTGACTGTTGGAATTCCAACCCACTGTGGTCTGATGATAAAAGCCTAAGCAGGCTCTTTTCAACACTCAGGGCTGTAGATGTTGCTTGGAATTGCTCTGTGTGTCATATTCATCGTCAGTAAACTGTGTGTGTTTGACTCTGTGAATGTCTACCTTTTCTTCCAAACCTGAAACGTTTGCTGAGCTCTCTTCTCAGAGAGCAGCAAGGCATAGTGATTAAGATAGTGGGCTCCAGAGCTGCAGAGACTCGGTTCCCGTCTCAGCTCTGCCACTTACTTGAGGTGTGGTCTGGGGTAGTCTCTTAACCTCTCTGTTCCATTTTCTCATCTGGAGAATGGGGCTGATAATAATAATACTCACGTCGAGGGGGCTCCCTGAGTGTGCATGACGCTCTTAGCACAGTTCCTGGCACATAGTGAAGCACTCAGTCAATGAGAACTTTCAGCAATGCTCAGGGACTGTGGTTAAGCATTCTCCTGGCCCTTTCTTTACTCAATAGACTCTATTGTTTCTTATTTATTCACTGAACAGATGTTTATTCAAAATCTCCCAGGCAGTTGCTGCAGTGAATTCATTGGTGATACAGAGAAGCACAAGACACGGCACACACAGGAATGACATCACCAATATTTGTTTAGCTCTTCCCAGTTTACAAACACAGGTAGTATTTGCAGTGCTAACTCGATTCAAGGTACCGCATACTGTTTTAGACATGTAAGAGGGCTTCAAATGGTTAGATAGCAAAACCCAAGTTGGGGATAAAAAATTGTAACATGAGGCAAACCAAATGGATTGTTTGCCTTCTTGAGGGCCGAGTGGGTGTGGAAGTTGTCCTCTGCTCCATAGGGCACCGTGGTCTACACCCTCAACGAGTGCTACAGCACGGCACGTTGTGAGGGTGAAGAGAGAGAAAAAGGAGAGGGAAGCAGGAAGGCACACTGGAGCTGCCCAGGCATTTTACAGAAGGCACGCTGTTCTCTTCTCACGGGCACTCCCTGATTCGGACGCAAGTGGACTCTGGAATGTGTGCATGCAGTATGAGCCAACATCTGAAATGGCGTTTCTGTTGGAAGACTGTGTATTTTTGTGTGTGTCATCAAATCACAACATCACTTACCTTTCCAACCTTAAATATTCCTCTCTAATTTGAGGGCCTCTTCCACTTAGGAACACATTTTTAATCAGTTTCCAAGAGTTACTAAAAAGGACAAAGAGGAGTACTACAAAGTGTGTGGTCAATAAGTAACCAATAAATATCAACTAGGCCGTGGTCTTAAAGAGTTAAATTTGGCTTTCAAATCTCCTCTGTAAGTTCTCTGCACCTACTCCTCAGACCACGTTCCCCACGATTTCAGAGAGATCTTTTAACAACATCAAACAATACTTACTGCCTTTTATTGACGGCTGTGTGTCCTTCCTAATCTCTTATCTCACTCTTCACAATAGTAAAATTTCCATTATCTCAGATGAAGAAATGGAGGCTCATAGAATTGAAATAACGACATACAGTCTCCAAACTGTTAAGGACAGAGTTTGGAGTCAGGCAGATCTCTGTTCGAGTCCAGGCTTGCTGCACACTGCCAAAGTCATTTAAGCTTTCTGTGCCTCAGTTTCCTCCTCTGTAAAATGGAGAGAACACTGCTTACCTAATGGGCTATTGTGAAGATTCCGAGATGGTCAGTGTAGGAGGTTTTGCATCCAGCACACAGTAGGGCTCCAGAGGTGGAAGCAATCAAGGCCATGCTAGCCTTACTGGGGCACCATATTGCCCCTATCCAAGCAGATGCTGCAGGCTTGGAATAGAGCCAGCTCTTGGGTGTGTGCACCAAACACACTTGTCTTCTTGATAATGCCCCTGCTGGGGTGATTGTTTTCAGTCAGAAAGGCGAGAGCTTTCCTTCTTTATTCCAGTGCACCTGGATGAGCTGATTCCCTGGCTGCCTGCAAGCAATTACCTCCTTAATTGCTCACGTCTCCATTACTGTGGGCTGGGAACGTGCGGTTCTGCAGCAGCCTCCTTCTCCTTGGCTGTCTGTTCGGCTGAAGGGGTACTTGTCGTTTTGGTTATTTGGAAGTTCTCAATACTGGCTAGTTATCAGCATGAATGGAACGGAGGAGCAACTAATACATATCCATGTTTGACAGCTCCTACCTTGGGGATTCTGATTCAGCAGGGCCCAGAATTCATATTTTGAAAAACCTTTGCTCATTGATTTAGATGCACAGCCTGATTGAGAACCACTGGTGAGGAATGTAGTCTATCAGACGTCCTCTTTAGAGTGACTATTAGATAGACTTTTTAGGCCCACATGTCATGGCTGTAAAAGGTGGTTTGAACAGTGATGGAACCCTATGCCAGTCATGAGGTGATGAACTTTCACATATGTTAGGCCGTTACATCCTCTCTATCGCCCATAAGGTAGGCAATATTGTGTCCATTTACAGGGGCAGAAACGAAGGCCCGGAGAGATGCTGTAACTTGCACAACTGTTCAGCAGACCAATGATTCATACACAGGTTTCTCTGACTTCAAGTCGGGGGCTCTTTCTCTTATAGTTCAGGGAAGTGAATTATGAGGACCCATTCATTTCACTGAGTCATGACTGCATTCAATTATTCTGAAAGTCATGCTTTAAGGCACCACAGTGAGGATGTCTTTTAGGTCCAGATCAATGCTGGAAAGTCCGGGCAGGTTTTATGGAAGAGGTGATTTCCAGAATGAGCTTTGAAAAGAGGACATCATTTTAGTGGGAGGAGCGGTGGTGGGAGTATGCCGCCTGGGAAGTGAAGGGAAGCATGCTGAAAGCCCTCAGCCCCCATGACTACTCCTTTTGGGAAGGGGCATGAAAGAATGCAGAGAACTCTTGAGGAGTCAGGGAACTGGCTTACCTTTGGAAATCATTGACAAACCCCTCTTGAAACAGGAAGCCCTTAAAAGGTATTCAAGTAACGCTCAGCATTCTCCAGTTGACTTGCTTATGGAAATGACATCTCCTGTAGCACTTTGATGATTAGAGCACAAAAATGCTTAATTAAATAGAATTATTGAATTCTCCACTGTTGATATGCAGAGGGGTTTCTTCCCTTACGTTTATTAAAGTACTAGTTGCATGGCAAGATGTAATTAAAAGCTAATATTAAATTTTTTAAGAGAATCAACTTAATCACAAGAAAATCTAACTATGAGTTGAATACGTATTTATTTTGTCTTCAGTGAAGGAGAGAAGCATTCCTGCCTTGTATAAATTAGGGGATTTTCTAACGCAAGGTGGTTATAATACAATTTCCAAGATGTCCAAACTGAAGTGTCTCAGTGTATTCATTCATTTATTCATTCAGCAAACATTTCTGACTACCTGCCATGTGTTCCAGGAGCCGTGTGTTGGAGGAGGTCATCGAGAAGACGTGACTCCCAGTTGAACCGTGAGCTGGACCCAGGGCAATCAAAGGCTGCTTACCCCTGTTTTTGGAATGTACGTTCCACTGACCATTCCTATAGCTGGAGTCATTTTAAGGATGCAAGCTTGAGAGAGCAGTGTGTTTTTGAGAGCATCTGGACAGTATATGTGACTGAACCCCGTTAAGGCCTCTATATAAACTTAGTTTTTATAGAGTTTATATAGCTAGTGTGGAGATCTACTCATCTTAAGCTGCCCAAGACAAGCCTTGTATGTAAGTTTCCTTGCTTATTAAACCTGCCACCTACCAATCTAGAGTGGTCTGCCTCTTTGTTCTCTCCTTGCCCTCCATGTGTGGGGGCCAGTTTATGAACCAACACCATGGTAGTTATGAAGAAGAAAGAAACAGTCCTTGCCTGCTTTTATTGAATAGGAGAAGGCGGAAAAGTAAACCAAGATTTACAAAACAGTGTATTTATTTTGCTACAGTAGAGCTGTGTTTAGAGGTTAAGGGTGCAGAGAGAATGGGGTTGGCTCAGGAAGGAGGCTTTTGAAAGACTGATAAAATTTAGCTCAGTAGATCAAAGCATGGTTCTGTGAAGCGCAGAGGTTTAGCACCAGAAGAGAGTATGGTGAAGTCAGTGCATCAACAACAACGACGACAATAATTGCCAGAGCAATAGCAACAACAACAAAACACAGCTCAGTATGAACGCTACTTTGAACTTTGAGTGTGGTAAGAGAACATGGTGAGATAAGACTGGAGATGGCAGACAGGAGGCATGCTCTAAAGGGCTTAGCTTGCCAGGCTTACAAGCTTGGACTTCGCCCTTAAAGTAATGAGGACTTAGTGAAGATGCAGGGATGGACACAATCAGCACTGTTTTTTGTTTGTTTGTTTCTAGGCAAAGACATAATTTACTGGCTTCTGTAGTTGATAAAGATATAGGGGTAACTGTAAGGAATCAGATTAGGGATGAGAACCAAGGATTTGACATTGCCAGGACTCTCCATTGCTTATCTGCTCTCTCTCCTTCTTTTTGAATGTTGGCCTTAGCCTTGCCTGTTGCATCCAGCCTTTCCCACGTGGCAGAAGATGTGAGAAGGCATTTAATTTTTCAACATCTGTGTCACAGTTCTAGCAAAGGGCTCTGGTTAGCCTTGCTTGGACCACTCACTCTTGCCAGTGATGTGAGATACTTAACAGCTTTAGGTATTAAAAAGCTCACTCCAGAGGATGGATAGGGAAGCAGCAAGACCAGAGGCAGGGACAAGAGAGGCTATGAATCCTGAATTGAGGCAGTGACAGAGGGAATGGTGAGGGGAGGTGGGGTCAAAAATATGAAGGAGGCAGAACTTGCAGAGCATGGAGATTGCATGAAGGGAAAGGGACAGAACGAGAGGTGTAAGGAGTGGATGATGTTGCCTCAGTTTCCTACGTGATCACCTGTGTAGATGGTTGTGCTACTTACTGAGGTATGGGGGAGAGGCAGTTTATCACGGGGCGGGGGTGGGGAAGAGGAAGTTCAGTGTTTCTTTCTATTTTACTCCCCATCATTATTTAAACCTCTTCTCTGATTTTTTTCAAAGGCAATAATTGTCACCTTTGATGGAAAAACTCTTTTAAAATGAAAATTAAACAAATTTTAATGAAATTTAAACAAAATTTAAACATAAAGTTACAAATTTTAATGAAAATTAAATTTCATTTATATTATCTGAAATGGGTGATATCTTACTTATGTAGGTCTTCATTAGCAGATTAACAGATATAGTAAGATTCAAATAATTAGGCTGGGAAATGTGGTTGTGAGAATTCAAAGAGAGAAAGGGTATATAATGCCTAATAAGATGGCTCAGGAAGGGTTGGGGTCTGTCTATTGATATCAGTGGGGCCAAAAATAGTTTGTGCTAAAGCTAAACAGGTAGATCTCTTGACAAGTTTTTTGTTGTTGTTGAGAATTTTGTGTTTGGAAGCATACTAAATGTAGTAAAACTGCATCCATTTTTGTTTATAAATGAAGATAGTACAGACCTTTCGCTAATTCAAACTGGCCCCTCGGGTAGTTTGAGTAAGTAGGACTCCCTGGACTTTGACTTGAGGCATCGAACAGCAGCATTTGCTGCACACGTTATCCTTGCACACCATTTTTCCTCGGCCCCAAGCACCATTTGCCATATTCCTTTCTTTTTGATCTAAGATACATTGGCTTGAATAAATTGTTTATAATCCTTACCACCACCTTATGAGTTAGGTATTCCTCTCTTGTTTTCAAGTAGAACACCCAGGATCAGAGAGGTGACCTGTACAAGAATACGTGCTGCTCAGTGGTAAAGCTGGGTTTAAGTTCAGGTCTGCCTGATTCTAAAACACCTACTGCCTTGATTGCTTCTGTTGATGTGTGGCCCTGATACCTGCTCATGGCCTTGGGATCTTCCTGAATGCCAGTCTGTGCAGATGAGGAGGTGCTGTCATTTTCTTGGGCACCTTGTCACCTTGTCCTCGCAATATCAAGGGTACTTACACAGTATCGAGATTGCTCCCTTGTAGATTCACCTTCTACTTTTGTCTGCTTCAAATTTATTTGTAGACTTTTCTATTTAAATTCATCTTCACTCCCTTTCTAAGTAACTCAGGCACCGTGAAGAGCCTCCTTGCCAGGCTGCCTCTGACCCGTGCTGCGATGCGTCCGTTAATCTCCCAGGCTGTGAGGCAGGATGTGAATGCCCCAGACGGCGTTTCTTAGAAGACAGTAAAGACAGCCAGGAGGACATGAGAGGAATCTAAACACCAGTGGTCTGCTCAGTGCAGGCAGCCTAGGTCTAGAGGGAAAAGCAAGGTGGCAGCTTTATTTAATTAGTTCATTGGTTCATTATATCAAGAGTGAATATATAATAGCTTTTGATTTACTAATTCATGAGGTAAGAGTGTTCATTGCCAACCATAATAGAAATTCTAGGGGCAGAGAGGAAGAGATCCAAGATATAGTTTCTATATCTGCTTACATGTGTATTTTACCTTCTTCTTAATGATTCAGATTACACCCAACTGTACTTATAGCTGTACTCTTGCCTATTATAACTGTCTGCTATGTTCCTTTTCTCTATTAAAGGCTATAAAGTATAAAAGTATCCTTTAGGATTTTAGCTATTAGTTTTATTTGTAAGATAGTTTTTCAAGCTATCAAGAACAAGCCAGAATTCTATCCTCAACCTACAGTGTAAGGGATTCTGCGTCTGCTTATACATCTGCGTTTTAAGGATAGTGTGGGTTACAATTTGGGGTGAGGTCTCTTTATTTTGACCAATGGGCTTTTAAGGCTGCTCACTACCTTCTCTGAACTAAGTCCTACTCAACCTTGGTCTCCATGTCCTTCAGGAAGTTTTAAACTTCTGGGCACCCACATCTCTACATTCTGATATTCAACATTTTTGTTCACTGTTGTCTTTCTGGCTAGAGTGCAAACACTGTGCAGTGCCTAACACAGGATCTTTCACATTTGTGTTTAACGAAGATTTGTTGAGAGAGGAAATGGGCTATAATCTGTGCGGAAATTAATAAAAGAAACTTTAAATAAATGGGAATCGGGAAGGCCTGTAGGGGGAGCGCTCATGCCCTAACATACATTGTCAGTTACACCAAACAGGAAGAGAGATGCACTTGCGTCTTGGTGAGAAGTAAAACTTTACTACTAAGGAAGATTTCTCTCCCTATCTGGCAACAGCCCAACCAAAGAGAAATGCTGCAGCTCAGCCAATGAGCAGCTGTGGCCATCCTGAACTGTTATTTTTCCCCAATGGACTTTTGTTTAGAATAGCCCTGCCCTACTCCCCCTTTTTCTTTATAAAAGTGGCTCCCCTCTTTTCTTTTCTGGATTTGCCTATAGTTTGCCATAGCATGCACATCTCAAATTGCAATTCTTTTGGCTACTCCCAAATAAACTCATTTCAAGGATAAATTAACAGGCAAGTTTGCTTTTTAAGGTGACAACTGCATCGTTTCACCAGAGTCACTCAGGTACTTTGAGCTGGTTGAAAAGTGGGCAATGAGACATAGGGTGGCCTCCCATTTCCTCCATCCTGGTAAGCATCACCCACGCACTCCTGTAGTGAGGTACTGCCCCTCATGGGGATTCATCTCGTTCCTCAGGGGTTTGGGGGCAGAAAGAAGGTTGTAAACCAGTGTATATCTGGACTTCCAGCTCTCCTGATGTTCCTATTGTATTATGATGATGTATTTTAATATCTGCTTCTTCTATTGAACTGCGAGCTACTAAGGGTTGGGGATAATGTCTTCTTCATTGCGCAGCACATTCATGAGCACCTAGTCATAATAGAAATTGCTGTTATTTATTGAGTGTGGACTATGTGGCACATGTTATACTAAGCATTTTATATGTATTAATTCGTTATTCCTCACAACATCCTGTGTGAGGTAGGCACTATTATTATATCTATTTTAAAAATGAGAAAACTGAGGGTAACAGGGATTTTAAGTAACTGAATACCATGCATAGACCATAAATGATAAGGCGGGAATTCAAACACAGGCTATACAGCTCCCAAGACCACACTCTTAACCAATACAATCTCTCAATATATGTTTCAATTAAATTCAATTTGTGATTAACAAGTAAGCCCTGTCAGAAGTCTGAAGAGAAAGAGCCGGAAGTCATTTTAGACAAGGTGAGAGGGATGAGATGGGCACACCCCAGAGACAGGTCAAGTAGGCAGATATCACCGTGTCTTAGGATCTGGGCCTCTGCAAGGGAGGAGGGGAGGGACCAGCTTCCTCCTTGTCAAGCTGGTGTCCTTGTCTTGGGGAAGCAATGAGCACCCAGCAGGTGATAATATGGGGGAAGGTGACATCCTAGGTTTCGTGAGGTCAGTTTATCACAGTGGTTAAGAGCAAGCGTTGTGAAGGCAGAGATAGCCCAGCTTAGTGAATGCCTGACACACGGCAAGCAATCCATGACAGCTATCCATTAGCACCATTTGAGAGTGTTTCGAGTATTCAGTGCAAACGCTGTATATCCACAAAGATCAGGACATTAGTGCTTCTGCATTCCCATGGA